GCGAGTGAGCGCGCGCCCGCGTGCGGGGGCGTGGCGGTAAACAGCAACAACCCACTGGCCAGCTCCGCCAGAAACTCCGATCAGCCCTTCCCGGCCGCCAAGTGCACTCGGCCCAGCCTGGAGGTGAGTCGAGGGGGCGGGCCGGGCGGGCTTTGTTCCCGGGCGAAAGGATCGCACGTACCTGGAGCGCTGCGGGCGCCCGATAAGCGCCGAGAATGGAGGTGATGTCACGGTGATGCAGGCGCCGGCCCACCCTCGCCGAGGGGAAAGGCGCTGTGCGCGGGGAGAGGTCGGCCGGAGAGCGAGCGGGAGTGCGAGCGCGCGTGGCCAGCGCAGCCGGGGCCCCGGGGAGAGGCAGGCTCCGCGCCCCCGCCCGGGCCCCGCCACCCCAAGCCAGGGCTGGGCCTGGCCCCGCGCCCCGCGCCGAGCCCCTCCCACCGCCGCCCGTGCCCCGCCTGGGGCTGGAGTTGGCCCCAAACGCCGCGCTGGAGCCGGGCCTGCGGCGCGTCCCAGGTAAGGACTGTCGACTCCGCTCCGCCCTCCCTGGGCGCCCGGAAGAATCGGGTCGGGCAGGCGGGGAGGGGGCCGGGGCCAGGGCCAGGGCCAGGGCCTGGGCCGGGGGACAGGGCACGCCCTGCCAACTCCGCTGGGTGCCCAAAGTTTCCAAACCCGAGCGGGCCGGGGACTGGGGATAGAGAAAGCCTGGAGCTGCCGCCCGGCAGAGGGCGGGGAAGGACCCCACCATCGGGGGTCCCCAGGGGCGCCCCTAATCCCCCGGTGGCCGCCGTTCCTCCCTGGCTGCCCACTGCTGGGCGCCGGGAGGGCGGGCTTTTGCGGCCGGAGGGAACAGGAGAGAGTAACCGGCTCCCCTGCGCCTTCTGTTCGGACGACCAGGGAAGCGCGGGTGTAGACGGCAGTGGCTCGGGCGGGAGCCTGGAGGGAGGGCCAGGAATCTGTCTGCGGGAAGTTTGGAATTCCGGACCCTCAGAGCCCGCGCTCCTGACCGCCGGCCTCCAGACCCCGCCCCGCCCCCACAGCCCCACCCTCGGCTTTTCCTGCCTGCCAGAGTGCCCCCCCACCCCGGACCCCCGGCCTGCGCTTTCCCCCAGGGTTTGGCCCCTGGGGCCCCCACCCCTGCCCTGTGCCTTCCGTTGTGTGGGGGGGAGGTGGGTGTTGGGAGTGACATTCCAGAACTTACCCTGGGAGTCTCAGAATGGTGTATGCGTTTGCATCCCCACTGCCCACGCCTGGTGTGGGGTCTGGGCTGAGATTCCAGAAGCCCCCTCCCACTTGGCCACTGAGGGGCTCCATCCAGGCCCAGGCACACACACCCCCGCCCCTTTTTATTGGATGTGTTAAGCCCCAGAGTGCCTGGACAGAGGGTGGGACGGTGGGACCTGATGAAGGGGTAGACACAGTGGAGTTGGGAGGCTGCGGGGTGGGGGTCATCCATCCTCCTGCCTGGGCTGCTCCAATGGCACTGGGGAGGGAGGTCGAACCACAGAGGTCCCTGCCCCCACCTGCCTCCGGCTGTGGCTCCCTGGGAGCCCTGGGGTGGAGTCCAGGGAGCTCTTCCCAGGGAGGTCCCCAGTTCCCCACCAGGGGGGCGTTTTAGGGCTTGGTGAGGATGGTGGGGGGGTTGGCTGGAAAGCTCTGTGTCTCCCCTGGAGCTGGGGGGAGCCGGTCATGGCCGGCTGGGCCTCTGAGCCCACCTCTGGGCTCCCCTGGAGAAAGAGGAAGGGGCTTCTGGCACTGGTCTGGGCTGCCTGAGACCAGAGCCGAGGGCTGAGGGGCCAAGCCCAGCGGCGCATACGGCAGAAGGGCCCATCTGTCCGGGAAATCGTCTGAAGCCGGGCTATGGCTTTGGGGTCTGGAGACTCACAGGGCAGAAGAGGGAGGGCCCCCTCCCACCTCGCCTCCCACACTACTTTTAATACGGGACCCTCGAGAGTGGCTGGGAGGGAGGCGGGTGTTGGGTCTGTTCCAAGGACGACTGTCCAGTGCCCGCTGGGCCCGAGGCCAGATGTTGCTGGGGTGCTGTGGTCACCAGTCCCCGCTCCCCATGGGAGAGACCCGGACACAGGATTCAGGTGTCGGAGGCCCAGGAGGCCCCATCTAAGGGTGGGGTCTAGGGACCCGCAGGAGGCAGGAGGTGCTCCTGGGGCCTCAGAGAAGAGCCGGTGGGCAGAGCTGGGTCCGCCTTCAGCCCGCTTCTCCAAGGGCTGCATTTGAGCTGTTCTGAGCTTCCTGTTCCTCCATTCTGGCTGGTCCCCAAGGACCCCCGTCCTAGGCAGAGGAGATGGCGAGGCCAGGCCCGGTGCCCCTTTTTTTGAGGACCAGAGAGAGGTGAGACCTCCCAGGGTGGGAGTGGTTATTGCGTGGGAGGTCGGCAAGCTTCGGGGCAGCCGGCAGCAACGTGCCGCCGGATGGAGGCGAGGGCAGCCCTCGGCACTCCCCATGGGGGGTGCGACTTGCAGGTAAGGCCAAGGAGGAAATTGTTGACGAAGTCAAGAGGAAGGGGGGGTGCTGTGAGGTTCTGGGGCCGGAGGTGCGTGCCCAAGTCCCCAGATTTCTAGGGCAAGAGGGAGCAACAAGGGGCGCCTGCACCAAACGGGACCTGGCCGGGTGTTTTGTCTAGGCGCGCCTGTTACCAGATTGGAACTTGCCGAGTGTGCTTCAGCCCAATCCCCACCCACCCAGTCCTTAGATTTGGGTTTGGGGAAGGGTGCCTCTTTGGGACCTGCCCCTACGGCCTCGATCTGCCAGCTGGGATGAAGGTGTGCCCAACAGAACCATCACCTGCCTGGTGCTGCTCTTGCTGGACTGACCTCTTAGAGCGAAACCCTGGCCACACCCCCCACCCCCAGGGCTAACAGCAGCCTTCAGGGGCTCCGCACTGCACACCTGGTCTGTGTGACTCTAAGCTGCCCCCTGCCAGCCACACTCAGCTCGTGCCTGGGGGAGTGGCTGCTGTCTTTGGCCCTGCCCTTGGGCTCAGCTTGGGGCTTTGACCTAGGTCCTGGCTCCTGCCTTTCCTTCCCCTCTTCTGCTTGGTCCCCTCCCCTACCTGACGTTCCTCAGCCTTAGCGGCTTCATGTGCCTGGCTTGTGGCGGTGTCTGGGACTGGGACGAGGCGCCTCTCTCTTACATCTTCAATAAGATGCCCCTGGAAGGTCTTTGGCTTCTGTCCCTTCCTCTTCTGCCTGCCTGCCGCACCTGTCTCCCTCCTAGAGGCGAACTCTCTTGTGTGGCGTTGAGCGTCTGTTTTCTCCTTTGTATAACTCATCTCTCATGTGCTTCCAAATCCCACCAAGTCGCCGCTGTGTTTGGTCCTGTGTGTTCCCCAGCTCGGAGAACAGCAGCTGCTGTCTCCACCGAGATGTCGGGAGTAAGTGGCGGGAGTAACACATTACCTCCCCGGTAACTTTGCATTGGGAATGAAGGACAGTCAGTTCACACACCCAGCTCAGTTTTAAGAGTTACCGGTGGGTGGTGTTTGAGGAGGTGAAAATGAGTAAATCCATCTTTCTCATGTCAGCTTCAGTTAATTTGAGGCGTTTCAATCCCCCTGGTGGCTCAGCTGGCTTCCACTTCGCAATTGCGGGGAGACTGTCTCTGTCCACCGAAACTTGGGGTGTTTGTTTGCCTGTTGGACGTTCATAGCCAGATTGGGAAACAGCAAGGAGGTGAACCAGGGCCAGTAACAAGCCCCTCCCAGCTCTCACCTCCAAAAGGGAGGCCCAGAGGTGGTGGGAGGATGGGGAGCTGGTTGGTGCTGTTCCCTCGCCAGCCACCAGTGGCCGCTGTCAGCCCGGGAAAGCTTGGGTGCTGTTTCCCAAGACGGCACTGGAAGAGGCAGGATGACCACTTGTCATTTGAACATGTGGGTGACTTACCTTTGGAGTATTTGCGTTTCATAATGTGGCACTTTACACCTTTCTTCTCAAGGCATTAACATTTCTGTGCTGATGGGAAAACTCACGCAGTTGGTCTGTAACCTCCCTCCGCCTGTCCCTCCTCCGGTCCCACACGGGGAGATTCCGATTGGCGTTGCGAGCCGGGGTTGGGTGCATATTGGCAGAACTTCCGTGAGTGGCGGGAGTGAGAAGTTACCTTCCTGGTGTTAATAAAAGACGCCTCTCTTGCCTTCTGCCTACGGCGGCTTGAAGTCTTCCATTACAGATGAATTCCTTGGGGTTTTGCCTTGCCCTTGCCTGGTTCTTGGCTTTTAAAATGTTAATGTCTCATAGGAGAATTGTTGCATGAAGTCATTAGCTCCCTGGCTGAAGGATGAGTTTATTTTATCCTTGCCTTGAGCACCTGAGCCAGACAAAGGCTGTACCTCCACCTCTCCCCTAGCTGCTGGAGCCTGGGGAATGGTAGAACCTGGGTTACGGTGGTGGAGGGGAGGGAACCCACATCTGACCCCCAGGAGCGTCCTTTTCCATGGTGAGGAATGGGGATGACAGATGGGTTCCGTTTCACTGGCCTCTGTGGTCCACGGGCATGCCTTTGGAAGCTCTGTGTTAAGAAGGATTCTGGGCCGGCACCGCGGCTCAATAGGCTAATCCTCCGCCCTGCGGTGCCGGCACACCGGGTTCTAGTCCCGGTCGGGGAGCCGGATTCTATCCCGGTTGCCCCTCTTCCAGGCCAGCTCTCTGCTGTGGCCCGGGAGTGCAGTGGAGGATGGCCCAAGTCCTTGGGCCCTGCACCTGCATGGGAGACCAGGAGAAGCACCTGGCTCCTGCCATCGGATCAGCGCGATATGCTGGCTGCAGCGCACCGGCCGCAGCAGCCATTGGGGGGTGAACCAACGTCTGTCTCTCTCTCTCTCTCACTGTCCACTCTGCCTGTCAAAAAAAAAAAAAAAAAAAAAGGATTCTGAAGCTCATATCCACTCGCATTGTCTGCCCAGGTCAAGCAGGAAGCAACTCTGTACATGTTGGAGTCTGGCCTTGGAGGACTGATTTTGCTCGCCCCCTCTCTCTCTCTCTCTCCAGGGTCCCAGCTGGAGCCTGGCCCGGGAGCCAGGATGGCGGTGCACAGAGCCCTGCTGACGTGCCTGGGACTGCCTCTCCTCCTACTCCCGGGAGCCCGGGCCCAGAACGCCCCTCCTGGCTGTAGCCCAGACCTCAATCCCCTCTACTACAACCTGTGCGACCGCTCTGGGGCTTGGGGCATCGTCCTGGAGGCGGTGGCCGGGGCAGGGGTCGTCACCACGTTCGTGCTCACCATCATCCTCGTGGCCAGCCTGCCCTTCGTGCAGGACACCAAGAAGCGCAGCCTGCTAGGCACCCAGGTCTTCTTCCTCCTGGGCACCCTGGGCCTCTTCTGCCTCGTGTTCGCCTGCGTGGTGAAGCCCGACTTCTCCACCTGTACGTCCCGGCGCTTCCTCTTCGGCGTCCTGTTTGCCATCTGCTTCTCCTGCCTGGTGGCCCACGTCTTTGCCCTCAACTTCCTGGCCCGGAAGAACCACGGGCCGCGGGGCTGGGTGATCTTCGTGGTGGCTCTGCTGCTGACCCTGGTGGAGGTCATTATCAACACGGAGTGGTTGGTCATCACCCTGGTGCGAGGGGGCGGCGAGGTTGGTGCCGCGGCCAATGGCAGTTCAAGCTGGGCAGTGGCCTCCCCCTGCGCCATTGCCAACATGGACTTCGTCATGGCGCTCATCTACGTCATGCTGCTGCTCCTGGGCGCCTTCGTGGGCACCTGGCCCGCCCTGTGCGGCCGCTTCAAGCGCTGGCGCAAGCACGGGGTCTTCGTGCTGCTCACCACGGCCACGTCCATTGCCATCTGGGTGGTGTGGATCGTCATGTACACCTACGGCAACGAGCAGCACAGTAGCCCCACCTGGGACGACCCCACGCTGGCCATCGCCCTCGCCGCCAACGCCTGGGCCTTTGTTCTCTTCTATGTCATCCCCGAGGTCTCCCAGGTGACCAAGGCCAGCCCCGAGCAAAGCTACCAGGGGGACATGTACCCGACCCGGGGCGTGGGCTACGAGACCATCCTCAAGGAGCAGACCGGCCAGAGCATGTTTGTGGAGAACAAGGCTTTCTCCATGGACGAGCCAGCCTCAGGTGCGTGCGCCCCCTGCCTGCAGCCTGCGTGATTTTGCCGTAGGCCAGGGTAATTGGCCCCCGGGACTAAAGGGAAGATTCTCTAGGTTATCTACAGTCTTTGGCCTTAAAGCCCCTCGATTCTACTTCTAAGAACAACTTTTACCTGTTTACTTGAAACGCAGAGTGACAGAGAGAGGACAGAGACAGAGAGATCTTCCACCTGCTGCTGGTTCACTTCCTAAATGCCAGCAACAGCCAGGGCTGGGTCAGGCTGAGGCCAGGAGCCAGGAGCTTCTTCCAGGTCTCCCACGTGGGTGCGGGAACCTAAACACTGGGGCCATTGTGTGCTGCTTTTCCCAGGCCATTGGCAGAGAGCTGGATTGGAAGTGGAGCAGCTGGGATTCGAACTGATGCCTACATGTGGGATGCTGGTGTCATAGGTGGCGGCTTTACCTGCTGTGCCACAGCGCCGGCCCTGAACTTGTTCTCTATTATGTGTGAATCCCTGGTTATCTTCATGTCCTTTAAAACAAGGTCTTTTCCGCGAGTGCTGTGCCTCAGCAGCCCGTGGTTGACTGGAGGACCACGAGCATCTGCTGGGCGCCTGCTGTGTGCCCAGCCCCTGTGCTAAGCCCCTGTTGCATGCAGTCCACACCTTTCCCAGCTGCAGCCTCTTCCAAAAGCTGGCATGAACTCGAAGGCCTCCCCTCAACCCCAGACACCCTGTGCTGACTAAAATGGCTGGGGACTGGGGGCCGGCGCTGTGGCGTAGAGGGCAAAGCTACCACCTGCATTGTCAGCATCCCATGGGGGCACCGGTTCAAGTCCCGGCTGCTCCACTTCCGATTCAGCTCCCTGCCAATGGTCTGAGAAAAGCAGTAGAAGATGGCCCACGTGCTTGGGCCCCTGCCACGCACATGGGAGACCTGGAGGAAGCTCCATGCTCAGCCCAGGCCGTGGCGACCGTGAGGGGAGAGAACCAGCGGGTGGAAGATCTCTCCCCTTTTCTCTCTGCATCGCTGACTCTCAGATAAAATAAATAACTCGTTTTTTCTTTTTTTTTAATGATGGCTCAGGGGCTTAGGACTTCCTTTTCTGCCTGTTTATCTGCTGGAAAGGCAGAGGCGTGGGAGCTCCGGAAAGAGAAATCCCTGCCTCTCTGCAAACTGAGACCGTGTCCTTCAGGGCACTTGATCTTGACCTGCCCACCTGGGCTGAGCACGCCCCCCCCCCCCCCCGCAGGTGCCACTGAGTGTGCACGGGGTGGGCGGCAATGATGAAGCCACAGGAGGGAGGGGGCTTGGCGACCCCCGCCCACCGCCCCTGCCTCTGCTCCTCCCCTTGTGCCTGTCTGTCCCGGCCAGACACTTCCCGGCCTTTCTCCACCCCCAGCAAACATTTCTGGGGCTGTGAGTTTTTACTCCCCCCCCCCCCTATTTTTCTAAATGGAAAGATCAGTAGCATGAGGCCAGCATTTAGGGAGCCCTGTGGGAGACAGGCGTGCGGTGGCTCCCAGGCCCAGGAAGCCAGCGGCCCGCAGGCAGGCCTGGGGGGAACTATTCCTGGAGCTGCAGACGCTTCTGGAAGCTCGCCCTCCCCCGCACCCCCAGCCCGGGGGCCCAGCCAGCGGCGTTCAGTCTCCCGGGCTGGCTCTGGGGGAACCCGCACCCAGCTCAGCCCTGCTAGCACACTGAGGAGTCTTGGGCTGGGGAGGGGGAGGGAGGGGCTCAGCTGTATTTACCCTGGCGCCTGGCGGCCGGCCCGGAGCGGTAGAGGCCGGAGCTGGAGGCTGGCCATCTTGGAAGGCGGGCGGAAGGCCCGTGTGCCCCTCTTGGCCTCTGTCCTCTGGTCCTGGAGGGCGGATGGGGATGTGAAGGTTGCTGACCCAGCGTTTTCTCAGAGCTGTTCCGGAGGAGGGAGGCTTGGCGGGGGTCCCACGCTGCAAGGAAGCCGGGCGGTGGGGAGGGGCCCTCGCGGCCGCAGCCTCACCCCTGTCATTCATGGGGTAGATGATACACCAGGCCCCGCTCCCCTGCCCCAGGAGAGCTTTGCTTAGGTTGGGGGTGGGGTGGGGGCGGGGCCGAGAGCCTGGGATCCTCAGATGGCGCCTGTTTGCCCTTTGCAGCTAAGAGACCAGTGTCCCCGTACAGCGGCTACAACGGGCAGCTGCTGACCAGCGTCTACCAGCCCACTGAGATGACCCTGATGCACAAGGGCCCGGTGAGTGAGTTCGTTCCCCGCATCGCCGCGACCCTGCCGGGGGCCACAGCGCCCAGCCTCAGCAGGTGGACCTGAGAGGGCCAGGTGGCCAGCTCAGGGTCGGCATGGAGGTGGTCAGCCCGGGGCAGCCGGAGCCCCAGTTCTTAGCCCTTTTCGAGGGACTGATATATCCAATGTCTTCCACTCCATGGCGCTGGCACCTGTCCCGTGTCACTGGTGTCACACCCAGACCGGGCAAGATGCTGTCCAGTGCAGCGCCAGCTCTCACTGGGCTGGTGAGAGCCGCCGGCTAAGAGCTTGGGGAGTGACAGGGGCCAGCGGTAGCAGGGCTGGGTAGCTTTTGTGTCTTAAACTCAGCCGTCCAGCAGCGCCCCCCTTTCCCCCCTTCCCCTCCTCCTGCCCGCGACCTTGCACCTCCCCTGGGGTCTGGAAGCCAGATGCTCTATTAGCCAGGGAGGGGGCGGGAACAGGAAGGCGGTGGGTTAGATTCCTCCTGGGCTGGCAGCCTGTGGGAGAGGTCAGTGGCCTGCGTTGGCAGGATGCTGGGAACAGGAAGCAGAGAAGTCAGTGGGTGGTGTTCTCACCACGCCCCCCCCCCCCCCCCCCCAGCCTGGGGCAGGACGGCCAGGGTGTCTGCAACTCCGGCCTGTGCCTTCCGTCTCCCTGAGCCTGAACCTGTGGCCAGGGCGGGGCTGTGAGGGGCACAGGAGCTCCCAAAGGAGCCTGAGTGAGGCTGCCTGCCCAGCCCCTCAGCGGGCAGCCGGGGACTTGGGTGGGAGGGGCAGTGGCAGCCACAGGCTGTCCCTCGAGGGCCACCTGGCCAGCTAGGCTGCTTTCTTCTAATTCTCAGAACGCGGTGCCCGAACCCCCCGCATTAGGTCACCTGGGAACTGGCTACCAGCGTAGGCTGGGTGAGGCGGGAGGTGGGCCGGAGCCAGCTGTTGCCAGGTTGCCAGCAGCGGTGTTGCGTTGACATCACCTTGGACGGGAGTGACTGCCCCGGGCAGATCTGCAAACAGTGCAAATCAGAGCTCCCACTCCCGCCCGCTTGTTAAACAGATACCACCCCCATTTACCACACTGGGTGGGTCCCAGCTCCCAGGGGTGGGGGTGCATGACAGACAGACCAGGTGACCAGGTTTGAGACCCCTTAGATGTTCCTGGGACCCCTTTCCATGGGGACAAGGCAGGTGGGCCCGGGACTCCACCTTCCTTCCAGGGTGGGAGCTGGGACGGAGGCCTCGGCACCCTCTTCTAACAGCCCCAGCTGCAGGCTCCCGCTACAGCAATGGGGTTTTCGGGCTTCAGATCAGACCGGCCACAGACCCACGAGAGGCTGGGCACTCTCAGAGCCCCACAAGGGTGCGCTGGGCATTGTGGGTGAGGGTCTTGGAGGAAGGCAGCCTGGGGGCTGCAGCAGACAGGTGGTGGCAGCCCAGAGCGGCCCACCCTCCTTGGGAACCTAAGAGTTCCTTGAGGAATCGGAGGCCGGAGGGGCTGGAGGTGACCTCGGAGGTGCCTGGAAGCCATGCCCAGGGGCAGGGTGAGGTCAGGGGCTTGGGGTCAGCGGCTGCGTTCCCAGCCCGGGTCTGGCTGCCGGGGTGGAGGGGGCGGAGGGGACGCGATGTGGGAGCTGGCAGGCTCGCTCTGCAGGAAGCTAAGTGCACGCATCCTGGCTGGCGGAACCGGCCCCCCTGGCCCCTTGCTGTGACACCGCCTGTTCTTCCTTGTAGGCTGAGGGAGCTTACGACGTCATCCTCCCGCGGGCCACGGCCAACAGCCAGGTGGTGGGCAGTGCCAACTCAACCCTGCGGGCCGAGGACATGTGCGCGGCTGCCCAGAGCCACCGGGTGGCCACACCGCCCCAAGATGGCAAGAGCTCACAGGTCTTTAGAAACCCCTATGTGTGGGACTGAGGCGGCGCAGCCGGGAGGAGCGGAGGAGCCGGGCCCTCAGGACCCAGCCCGGGCGAGGGCCCCTCCTGGAACCCGTGCCCTGTGGCTCATTCTCCTTTGCTGGCTGGCCCTTGGCAGCTCTCGTCTGAGCGTGAGGTTACCCGTATGCCAACGTCTGGGTGGGTGTCCTGGGCGGCCCCACCCACTCCTCAGTGTTTGTGGAGTCGGGGAGCCAGCCCCAGCTTCATGCCAGGGTCCCCCACGGCGGTCCTGCTCCAGCCAAGTAGTGTTTTGGGGGGGTGGGGTGGCCGCCAGGCGCTCCGGGCCGGGCTTGCTCCTCTGTGAGGAACAAGGCTGCCTAATAAAAGTCTCTGCTTTATAAACTCATGCTGTGCGATCGTGGTTTCTGACCTGGGCACGGAGATTCTGTGGCCCTCTTTTTTTTTTTTTAAGACTTCTTTATTTATTTGAAAGGCAGAGTTAGAGAGAGAGAGAGAGAGAGAGAGAGAGAGAATCTTCCATCCGCTGGTTCACTCCCCAGATGGCTGCAACAGCCAGAGCCAGCCAGGCTGAAGCCAGGAGTAGGAGCTTCATCCAAGACTCCCACGTGGGTGCAGGGGCCCAGACGCTTGGGCCGTCTCCCGCTGCTTTCCCAGGCGCATTAGCAGGGAGCTGGATCGGAAGTGGAGCAGCCGGGACTTGAACCAGCAACCGTATGGGATGCCGGCATCACAGGCAGAGGCTTAACCCGCTGCGCCACAGCACCCGCCTCTGGGTGACTCTTCTCTCCTCTCTCCAGACCCAGCTCGCAAAGAAAGTTATTGTTGAGTTTTCCTTCTGTGTTCAGTAGCAGAGCTGCAGGCTGAGGAGGGGGCTGGAGCGGACCCTCTGCCTGCGTTGAGTGCACTGGGAAAGAACTCCTGGGCTCCTGTGCGTCTGGGATGCTGTCCTGTGTCCCCGCTCGTCTGATGCAGGCAGCTTTCCCCTGGGGCCTCCTGGGATGGAGACAGAAGAGGGAGGCGGCCCCGGTGCAGGCAGGTGTGTGGAAGGGCACCTCCTCGTGGGGGAACGGAAAGAAGACACTTTGTGGGGGGGTCCTATGGCCTCCCCAGGGCTGTGGGGACGGATGGTGCAGAGAGGACCAGGGCTCGCTGCCCCAGGTGGAGAGGCCAGGCAGGTCCCGGCTTCTTCCCAAACAGTCATGGACCTGTCCGCACGCTCAGTACTTGACCATCAACAAAACCCTTTGCACCTCCGCTCCCTTTAATGGCCACAGCCGCCCTGGGAAGGGGACAGGCCTGGTGTTCCCGCCCCTTTGCAGACTCAATCCCAGCATCAGACCATTGCAGGGTCGGATGGGGGCTCGGCGCTGTGGTCCCGCGCCCTCCTACAGGTAAACAGCGTGGCCTGACCCAGAGACTTTCTCCTTGGCCAGCCCTGGGAGAGCCGGCAGGCTCCAGTGTCCTAGGCTGTGTGGACGAGACAGCCGAATCCTGACCCCAGGGCGCAGCCCCAGGGAGTCTGCCCCTCCTGGGCTTGGGAACGTTTCTTCCCAGGCAGTCGGAGCTATTTTCATGGAGGGAAAAGAATGTTTTGGTTGAGAGGGAGAGAAAAGTTGCCGGAAGGAAGAATAAGACTTGCAAACTTCTCCTTCTATGTTCAGATGGCCCCAGGCCCCTGGGGACGGGCTTTGCTTAGGAAGGACCTTTCATGGGCCCCCTGTCCTCCGCTCCCCTTTGACGCCTGTTTTTTTTTTGGTTACTTTAGGCTCAGTCCCCGCAAAATAAAACGAGATGGTAACGCCATGGCACCTTCCTACGTCCTCACTCTTCTCTTCCCGGGCTGGGTGCGGCTTAGCACCTTACTGCCCTTGGCATTGGAGCTGGGAGGGACTGGAGGTTACCACCAGAAGCAGTGGACTGGGCAGGGATGTGGGGAGGCCTGAGACATGACTGGGGCTCCGGTACATGTCCCCCGGTGACTGTGGCTGCAAGAACCGGTCTGCAGCCTCCCACCTGTCTCCCCATCGCTGTGCCCCTGGCCCCACACGTGGCGCCCCAGGTGAACCACAGGCCTTCTGTGCCCGTCCTGACTGACGCTGGGCCTTCCCGGCCTGACCACCCTGCTGTCGGCACTGGCCTGGCCCGCTCTGTGCCTTGGTGGATCTCAGGGTCATTTTTGCCAAACCACGGCAGAAGGCGGCTCCGCCCTTGTCCCAGGGCTGCCTCCTGGGCTGCAGGAGGCCAGTGAGCTGAGGCCAGGCTCCACCTGGACAGATGTTGCGTCTCTGCAGGGCCTGGGGGCCCCGGCTGTGCGCCCTTCTCACCGCGACCCTGACCTAGCTGTCCCCACCTTCAGGGTCAAGTGCTGAGAGTGAATGCCCTGTCCTGAGGGGCGCGGTGTTTTCTACCTCACCCTGGGTGGCAGGTTCTCTCGGGCCACCCAGGCGAGTGCTGCTTGCGTCACCAGTGGACATGGGTGTCCTCAGCCTTAGCACATACCCCAGGGGGTCCCGACAGCCACCCTGGCAAGAGGGGGGCTTTCTCAGGACCCGCGGGATGCCGGCATCAAGGACAGAGACACCCGGATCCTGACTCCTGGGTGGGACATGTGGCAGCGTCCTGTGTCCTGTGCTTGGGGACCAGGCGGAGCTGACTTAGCCAAGGCCACTTCCTCCCCAGGTGCTCCCTGGAGCCCAGTCCTCAGCCCAGCGTCACCCGTGGGTGCCAAGGTGCAGGGTGAGCCCAAGAGTGGTTCTCTGGGGAGGCACTCTGTAGACGGTCCCACAGCTCTCCAAAGCCACCCTTCCGGCCCCAGCTGCCAGTGCCTTTGTCCTGGGAGCATTTTTCAGAGTTAAGTTAGGTGAACAGAGATGGGTGTTTTAGTGCAGCAGGTTAAGCCACGGCCCGGGATACCCGCATCTCCTATCAGAGTGCCTGGTGCCAGTCCTGGCTACCTCGTGCTTCCAATCCAGCTCCCTGTAACGCAACAATGACCCAAGTACTTGGGTTCCTGCCACCCATGTGGGAGACACGGGTGGAGCTCCTGGTTCCTGGCTTCACCCTGGCCCAGCTGCAGCTGTTGCTGCCTTTGACCGTGTGAACAGCAGATGGAAGCTCTCTTTCCCTCTCCCTGTCACTCAGCCTTTCAAATACACACATAAGCCTTTTTTAAAAAAAGAAAATACATTGGATGATCAGTCGCCGCAGAGGAAGACTTACCCAGGTGTGACTCCCCCAGCTGTGACCCCCCCCAGATGTGACTCCTCCAGGTGTGAGCACCTCCAGGTGTAACTCCCCCAGGTGTGAGCACCTCCAGGTGTGACTTCCCCAGGTGTGAATCCCCCAGGTGTGAATCCCCCAAGCGTGAGCACCTCTTGCTGTGACCCCCCAGGCGTGAGCACCTCTTAACACCACCATCCCTCCTCCCCCGCCTGTTCGCCTCACCACTTACCTGTCCGAGTACAAGTTGAGGTTGTACGTTCCCCTGACCAGTGGGAGGGTGAGCTCCGTGAATCTCTTCTCTTGATCTGGGTTCGTGGCCCTCAGACCCCTTCAGTAAATAAAGATGCAGCCTTGCTTTCCTAGGCGAGCGTCTCGGAGGGTCCCTGGTGGTGCCAGAAGGCAATGAGTGTGGTTTGTGTACTGCCTGAGCCTCCTGGGGGTCTGTGGGCGAGGGTGAGGAGGGGTGCGCCTACCTGGACTCAGGAGCGCACGGGGCCCTGCTCCCCCAGTCCTGGGCTGGGAGGAGACGCCGGTGCTTTGCGGGGGAGACGGGACAGTCTCTGCAGGTGGCTGAGCTGTGTCCCACACAGCCTGGAATGGCCTGAACCCACCACAGATCCCTCCTCGTCAGACTGTGCTGGGTAAACTTCACGCCCACCATCAAACCTCACCGCTCGGAGAAGTCAGGCTCCGGATATCCTGCCTGCTCCGCACGGGACCACCGATCCCGATTGTGGGAGCTCCCCGCTGTGTCTTCCTGGGTTTGTTGAACACAAACTCCTTTCCTTCTACGCCAGCGAAGGCTGTTTGATTCTGGTTGAGCTTGTTCTTGCTCTAAGATAAACCAAGCCTCCAGCAAACCCTAAGCTGTCAGCCAGCCGAACCCAGAGACCGGGGACCCCACACAAAATGCGGGAGAGGTGGGGTGGGGGAGGGGCTGGGTGGGTGATGCAGGTCACAGAAAGCCATCCTGGGGCTTGGCATGATTGACTGCTCCAGGGCAGGGCCTGCCAAGGGCACAGCCAGCGCCGGTGCACTAGTGCGGCTCTCAGAGCTCCCGGGCCAGGCAAGGGCCAGGCAGCGTGACGCGCTCCGCCTACAGTGGTGCTGCGGCGGGGAAGGGTCTGTCAGCCCCTCCAGGGGGACACCCCAAGGTCAGCCGCAGGTGCCGGGGGCCAGGCGTTGCTTCCTGTCTGCTGTCTCCACTCTGGGGCCTCCAGGAAGCTGCAGCCCCTGCTCTCAGCAGCCGTATGAATTATTTAGCATCCACACCCGCCCGCCCGCCCGCCCGGGAGTGCTCTGACCTCCCTCGTCCTCCTGGGCTCAGGGTGTGGCTCTGACCTCAGCCTCCTTGAAAAGCGCTTGCTGCGGAGGTCAGAGGCCAGGGTGGCAGGTGCCTCTGGGTGGGGGCGAGCGAGGGGGTCACGGCACCCTCAGCGAAGGGCATGGGACCAGAGACCCAGCTGCCCCTCACAGCGGGAGGCAGGGTGGGGACAGGACTCGGGATCAGGTGCCCACAGGCCGAGATCCTGGCTCTTAGCAGCTCCCTTAACCCTCCCTCCGGTTCTTTACCTCTAAAATGGACCCCTATGCCTCCCGTCCCTTACGCCCTGGGGTTGGGGGTCCCCCCTGCAGTGTGCATGGGTTGTGCTGCCCGCGGGCCCCAGCGGCCTCCGCTCAGTGTCTGGGGCAGAACTGGGCGGGCCCAGGGTCGCCTCCCCATCAGGAAAGAGGCGCTGAGTCCTGGCCCGCGGTGGCCCCGACCTCACCCGGCTGCTCGCACCGCACCCCCACCCCCACCCCAGGCACCCTCTCCGCGTTGATCTGCCCAGAACGGATTCGCACAAAAGCGACATCACAGTTTTACTACGGAGCGTTCCAGCGGTGGCCTTGCCCTGCCGGGGTGGGCACAGGGCGCGGGACCCGCCTGCGGACACCCCACGGCCCGCGAAGCACCTGGAGCGGGGTGGGGGTGGGCGGTGGGGGGTGGGGCCGGAGCCGCGGGCGCGGCAACGTCACTCCCCAGAGAGGCCACGCCCGCCCCGCCCCAGCCAATCCGCGGCCGCCTTCCGCCCCGCCCCAAGCCCCCGCCCTCTGCAACCCGATCCGGCGCCGGCGGTCTGCGCTCGCGCCCTGGAGGGGGCCCGGCCACGTTGCTTCGCC